GTTTGCTTGAACGCTTACACTGTTCTGATGAAAAAGGCCGTTCTTTAGTAGACAGCGGAAGGTTAAGTAAAATGGAGCAGCTCAATACACAACAACGAATTCTCATTGTGAAAAATATAAATTTTTTTGAAGTTTTGCAGCCACAGTTCGCAAAATGCGTACAATTATGGCCCATCGGAATGCTCCAACTGAAACCACTGTGAGAGAATTAATGAAGAAATTTCAGCAAACTGGGTCTGTTAATGAATTGACAACCGAAACACTCGTTCCTCCTGGTCGATAGACTGAAAATATCGCAGCAGTACGTGCAAATGTCGAGGAAAGCCCAACCACATCAATTCTACATAGAGCTCAAGAAATTGGTGTTTCCTCAACCACTATGCATCGAATTTTAACAAAAGATTTGAAGCTTCATTCATACAAAGTTGAATTGGTTTAAGAGCTAAAGCCGGAAGACCATGGGCAACGAAGAGCCTTTGTTGATTGGATTTCGGAACAACGACAATTGGACGGTGATTTTTCAACGAAAACAATCTTTAGTGGCGAGGCCTATTTTCATCTTGGTGGCTTCGTTAATCGACAAAATTGGAGCATTTGGGATTCCGAAAATCCACGAGTGATCGTTTAGAAATAGCTGCATCCAAAAAGAGTCACTGTTTGGTGTTCATCATAGATTAACTAAGTAGGTTTAATCTAATCATTTCTCTCGCCGTACCAAAAGTTTCCCATTCTAGTCTCTTCTTTGTGCAGTTTCCTACCTAATTTGGGATTAAAATCTCCAATTACTAGTGTGAGGCGAGTTTTGTGGTCTTCCACAGCCTTTGAGATATCAAGTGTACGCCCCGTACACTTGAATAATTTTAAGTGATCAACTCATTTTAAATATGACATGATCAACACGATCTGAGACTCCCTTAATAGTTTCGACGTGTTTGCTTATGACTTTGTTTATGATGAACACTACTCAAAAGTTACTCGCACTTCTCACTGGTGCTAATGTAACCTCGCACCTCTTTTTCAAGTGCGGAGACTTGCTCGTAGTGTTGATTGAAAGAGTATATACTCTTCAATCAACGCTCGTAGCCTTTTCGGTTTTCGGATTCTTCTTAACGGTGTCCACAAAGAGTTGTCACGGGAAGTTCGATTCCGTAGCTTTTCCGCCCAGGTAAAATTACTGTATGCGGAAATTTCACGCTGTATGTCTCGTGCAAGCTCTGCTGCTCTTATACCATCAGCAAATTGCCTGAATCGCTGCCAACGCTTCCTGATTTGATTAATCCAGAATTTCCTCAGGAAGGTTGTCCCGCCGCGGCCTATTCGGAACTTTTTTGGCTAGAGCTTGCTGTGCCCGTTGTATATTCCTTTGACAGATCTTTTACTGTTTATTCAGAATATGTTGATAATTTTTAAAACTTTTTTACACATTTATTTTTGCAACCTTAGACATTTTCTTCGGTTTTGTTTGAGTTTGTATATGGACGGTTTTCAACTCGTTTTATCGTGCGATATTGAAATATAAATTATCCAATGCTTTATCAGTAAAAACAGACATTATAAAAAAGCTTTGTTTATTATAAAATAGTACGGCATCAAACTTATAAAGCAAATCTGTTGTACTGATGTCTCGTATTAAATTTTTCGTCTCTCTGAATTGTGAATAAACTGTGATGGTGCCATTTGAAGACCCGATAAACTCAAATTGCAAGATACTAATAATAATTAATAAATCTTTTTACTTTAACCTAACATGTCTCGGGAGAATATTGTTTTGTTTTCCTACGGATTATATTTAATTGTATCATACACATAGTCTTGATGGGTCTTTTGTTTCTTTATCTTAATTATCTACTTTATCTATATTATTTTCTTTATTTATTATTTGACTTACACTATGAATACTTCGTTCGCCTCTGTGAAATCTTCTTCATTATTTTATAACGATCACAACTTTTTCCGATATTAATATTTTAAAAGTTTGTCAAGTTTAAATTTTAAGTAGACTTTTTGGACTGCACTTGAGAACGATATCAATAATGTATTTAACATGTTTGTCTTTTTACCGCATTCATTGACATAATAAAATAACAATTTGCAAATTCTGAGTTAACGAGCTAAATACACCGTTATGTGTGTAGATATATCTAGTATTAGGTTATCTTTATTACCTAACACTAATTGCTGGAGTTAAGAATTGTTTATGCATTTCTACAAACTCATCCCACCTGGCTAATTCTATCTAATCTAATAATATGTTTTAATCATATTCTTTGATGGTTTTTAATATTTTTCCTGTGATAATCATTTGAAATTATTACTGCCAATTTTGGTTTTACGAAAAGTTTGATAAGACACTCTCAAACGATTTCTTTACCGATTTATTCTGGGTTTTACGCAATTTTAATCGGCTTAAAAATTAGGCATATTTGGAAGATTCATTTACGTCAAATAAATAATTAACTAACGAGTTTTTAAATTTTAATTGGCTTCATTTGCAAGTCTTTTTCATTTGAAATTTGTAGATTCCTCATTTATAAAATTCGTGTTATGACGCTATCCAATTATTTATATTGAGCGGATAGCGACATTCATATTACTGTTGACTTATTAAAAGTTCTGGTATGTTTTTAGCATAACAAATTTCATATGAATATCTATATTTTACAGACAGTTTTAAGGATCAAATTTTTCTTTTCAAATTAATTAAGTAGCAGAATTTTTGGTGCTTTTCGTATTTGTTTGTTATTGACATTTATTTCCAATTCAAATCTCTTACTTATACGACTACAAATGAAACTAAAAAAAATTGCCGATTCAGCACGAGGATGTCAAATTATCAAGTTTTCACATGCTTTATTACAAGCATGCTTCCACCATAGAATTCAAGTCATGACTTTCTTATTTAAAATACTGAACTATACTAAAAATAATTATGATACCTTTAAAGCGACAGCATCCTAAAAATTTCTTAACGATTTGGTTTAGAGGTACAACGAAACCTATGTGGATGATGCATTGCAAATCATAGTTTATATGCGGAACTTTAATTATTCAACATTTTCCGTTATGGAATGGCTTCTTTGATAAAATTCAAGTAAACGGGTCTGAGTAGATGGATTGGGCTGCAAATTTACTTACCAACCTCAGCTTTCGTACACTGTCCAGTTCTCGGGACATAGCGATGGATGGCTTTTCCAAATAAATCAACAAAGTAGAGACTTTCGGTCTGGATATCCCAGTGTGGTCCTTCTCCTAATTCAATGACTGGAATGTCCGTAACCCGTTCCACTATAGGTGCCATTTTTGCGTAACTGACCTGCCGAAATTCGGATATTATATGCGATTTATAATTAAAATATATAATAAACAACACAATTACATTTTGGTAAATTCCGCAAGCAATTCTAGAAATTTAAAGCATTTCAACTTCTAGAGCCATTTGACTTAAATTCAAGTTTATTATCATTATGACACTTACCTTTCGGAATCTTCTATGCGACTTTACCATGGCGACTCCATTCTCCCTTTTTATAATACATTTGGTTTATTGGATTGTTTATTTGAATCTCAAAGTTTAACAACAGCTTTAGTATATGGTTTTAATCTCGTGCTAAGTCAACATATTAAAGCGAATTACCCAATTGAACTGTTTTCTTTAAATTGTCTTGCAGTAAAATACTCGCAGAGGCACCATTTCCTCTTAGTTCACCTAATTTCCCGGGCACGCGCTTCTGTTAAAAATAGTACAGGTTAAATCGATAGCGAAAGCAAATGGAATTTAGCTGCTTTTAGACTGCTTTGGATTTAAAACAGACAGTTTTCAAATTTTTTAAAGTTTTACATTATTGTACCTTAAAAGGAAATGAGCTGCTCATCGGGTTTTAATTAGATTATATTCGGGCAAATCTACAGAGTGTTCCAAATTTGTCGTTTTTCCGCTTGAAACTTTGCAGTGAATTGTATATGAATCACACCAAAAGTAGTAAACAACAAGTAAATATATTTGTTAAAAATAAAATAATAAATCGAGCAACAATGCTTCGATTTGCCTACAAGCAAAGTCTTGTTCTATAACAGTACATAAATATATGAATGTGTTTTTACCGTGCCCTGAATAATTCCTTAAATATTACTAATTTCCTGCATAATAATTCGCTATTTTCGATGTATTTTTAAAGTTCAACACTTTTGGGACTAAAAATATTATAGCTTTTCGAATTAAGAAAATATGTGATTTATGGATAGGAAGTAAGGGAAAGTATCGTAGTCAGGATATATTTATTTAACTCCTGGCTTAGTCCTGGCTGATTTTAACTTCGGAACTGAAACCAGATTTACGGAAAGATGCCAACCACACATTTTGAAAATATTTAGAAAGTTCATTTTCAGTCAGAAGGAGATTAGCATAAGCTAAAATACTTCATAATAAGAGACACAGCATGGTAGTTAAGTCTAGAACTAAAAGTCTAAAAGGGGAACTAACTGATAATATTCAGTTAAAGATTGAACTTACAGTTTGTGGTAAAAAATCTATTTGTGATACCTGAGATCATTGAGAAGAAGTTTTGATAGAAAAGTGTAATTTTAATAATTTGATCCCTCTTTTTCTATATGGCAACAAGGAAAAACTTAAGTAATGAGACCTGATTATGACTTGAATATAGCCGAAACGTTGGTTTAAGAATAACATTTCTTCGGAAAACCATTAATCGAATACCCCCCATGGTTTTTAATCTAAACGAATTAAAATTCAAAATTTGCTGCCTCAATGTGGTAGTAAACACGAATAACAATGATACCAACAACAAATAAACATAGAAATTACTTTATTAAATATTAGCATCAAATTATCATTTAATTGGAATTATGTAAGAATTACGAACAAAAAATTACATATATTTAAATCCACATTTCTAGCTACAGTATAAGATGAAAATCTATCAGTGTTCAGCCTCCAAAGATCAGAATGATGTAGTATTTTATCGAAATTTTCACATTAGCCGAATTCTTGTTTTTTCTTTCTCTAAACCTGTAAACATTTACATTATTTTAAGAAAAAATTATACCGATCTGTGAATGGTCCTCATTTTTACTCCTGTTAATATCAAAATATATAAAAGATTAAATCAAATTTTTCAGAATTTTCGGACGTATTAGTCCCTATTAGAGAGCAAAAGGTATAATTTCTAATGTTTTCAGTTTTGAAGTTACAAGTCTTCGAAATATCTTAACTGGAAGCCTCTTAGACCGAATAAGATTTTGGGTGCAATCGCATCTTCGCTTAATGCTATATTGTCATATAAACTAGAGATTTAAAACAATGTTTTATATGATTTTAACCCATAAAAAATAAAAATCGTTGGTGCTGGATTTTTTCTCCTCATTCCTTCATTTTCTTACAGCCAGATTCGTGATTTAATGGAAAATTTGAATTAGTACGAAATTCGATTTTACTACTTGCTCTATGTGCGGTGTAATTGCATGAGGTGAATATAAAAGATTATTAATGAAATCTAATTCACAGAAGACAATCCCATGAATATAAATGAAATGTTTGCGCACAATTATTCGAATTATAATTACAACACACTCAGGAAATTATTCCAAAAAGCACAAATGACGCAAGAGAGAAACAAAACAGTAAATGGGAGTGACATTAATTTTATTAAAATATTCAATAGTCTGCCAAACAGAGCTCCAAATATTAAGCAAAAGAAAATATTACAGCAATGTTAAATAATAAAAAAACAAGGTCAGGTTTAATTATTTTGGGGTACAATATAATACAATTCAAACAACAATTTTTGCCTGTTCAATACTTTCCTAATTGGTGTTCAGGTCTGGTCTGATATATTTTACATATCTCAACAACTCTTCACTGTCCTCACAAATAAATGGCCTTCTGCGGCTACAAACTTCGTCATGCCAATGAATCCCATCATTGTACCTGTTATTTAGTATCGCTAAGCAGTTCTCAGGTTTCCCTTTTAATGCAAACTCCCTTAAAAAATCATTAATCACTTTTTGTGAATTAACATTTCTTACCGCTTTTCTACCTGTTATCTGGTTGCTGGACCTCATTTCCTCCTGTAAAAGACCAATCGTTGGATTCTCTATCAGTCGTAGGGGCTAATTTCTGAAAAATGGCAGTCCAGAACCAACCATTAACCTCAACAGGCAATAAATCCGGTCGATCGCAACCCTAAAATACATTAGGTCAGTTCAATATGGTTGAGGCGGATTTATACTTTCAAACCCTTTGAGCAAAATTCTTCTCCCGCCGAAATAAATGGAATAAAATAGTTTGTAATAATTTATTTTGACTTTTTTTACATTTTGGATTTGCCATTTCATAAACACATTTGTGAATAAAGGACTTTGGAATATTATTATTGGAGTTATTGAAACTTAAAACTTATTTTATGAATTGTTTTTCGTTTGGAAAATTAGATTAATTACATTTTATTTTTGCTCTATCATACAACCTTTCATAATGCTTGATTGCCATTATCGGATGATTCGTCAGGGAAAAGTTTTAAAAACCCTACTTGAAATTTACTTTGATTGAACATACCTTGAAATCACACAACCTGCCTGAAGTCCAGATTTCCTCAATGTATTCATTTTTGATTTTGTCTTTAATCCAGTCGTTTTCTGCCTTTGTTTCCAAAGACACCGCGTCCATGCAACGCGTTCGGCAGAAGTTTCTCACTCCCAACCAGTCTTCATCATCAAGTTTTTCTGTTACTCAATCAGAGCTGTACATTTTCAATTAGGGAAAGAATATCAACTATACCTCTCCATTGGTAGAAGTAGTTCTGACCAAGGGGCGATGTTTCGTGAATAGTTCTCTGAGCGCACATTTCTGGTACTGGGCCTTCCAGACTTCTTCCATTTGGAAATTGTGCCAAAGCCTTTGCGGAAAACAGAAGAACTATAATTACAAACTGCATTTTCGCCTAATGAGTGCTCTACAATGTATCGAAGTTTTGGCTTTTATATTCACATTTCACTAATTCAATGATATTGAAAAAGAATGTAAATTGGTTCGTGTTAATAGGTTTGACATTATTAACAAATTTGCAGTAGGTAATTGCTCTATTGGAATTTTAAATATGTTCTATATTAAAGTAATTTTTAAAGCGTATCTATTGTTCAAAATTATTTAAATATGATAATGTTATTTAATATATTTGACACTGCACTGATCACGCACTATGAAACTACCGCAAAAGATGCAGAAAATCTTCAGACTGCCAGATGTCAGTAAAAATCAACGACAGTTAGAGTGTAAAATATTCCAAGGAGCTCATATAAATCGATCTAATTCTGAAATCAAAACTCATTTTTATTCTATTGCAAATAGGGGTTGTTTGCAATTACGAATTAAAATAGTTTCATATAAATGCAAAATATTCAACTTGAATGATGACTGGAAGATTACAAGTGCTTTTGAGTCTGAAGTTTTAGAAAAATCGCACATCTTGAAGTATAAAACTGTGGTCCGTATACACACTCTTGTTCTTTCATTTGGCATGTTAATATTTGCTCGTAAGTCGATGGCAACTTTCCAAATTAAGTGTTTTTGAAACGATGATAGTTCAACCATTTCGAAAATTTGCAATTTTTTTTATTTTACTGTCCATTCTACCTCTAATAATAATAATAATACTTTTACTTGTGCTTACTTGAGGTTGAGAATATAAGGTTGTCTTACCAAGAGTTGTTTCAGAATTGGCCTAATTCTTTTGTATTTTGTATATTTTCAGTAAAATTTTCTTTTAACCAAATGAAGCAAATGACATGGGTTTCTCACCTCGTTTCAAGTTAATTGTACAAATTAATCCAAAATAATGATATTGTGCTTCAAAATTGTTTTATAATGTGAGTAGATCACCTTTTGATAATCGGACAAATCGGATAAAGCAATATTTGCAGCATCAGCAAACAACATACAAACCTTTAAAGTCTACTCAATTTCTATAATTTCCTAAAAGAGTAAATTAACTTTTTGGGTTTCACTTTGTAATTTTAATTGTTTTTGGTTTTTTAGTCGTTTTGGTGGAAAGACTCTATTAACAAAAATATTTTTCTAAGCAGTGCCTATAATTTTCCTTTCAAAATGTTTATTTCTTCTCATTCTTCTAATGTCCCAAATGTTTCAATTTTGAAATAAATTGGGAAATTTTTATTTAAATTTTAAAATCGTAATGACCGGCAACGTTTTTCTACGGCTTTCCCGGAAAATCAGCTGACCGGTTCTTTAAACCCCTGATTTCTCCCAACTTGTACTCTTACTAAATTAACTCTTGTTACTCTTTCATTTTGGTCTAAATCTGCTTCATGAAACTTGTCTAATGATTTGTTTGTTTTGCGTATTAATTGTTATAAAACTTTCCATCGACATCTTCCAGCATCTTTCTGTCAAAATTTTCTAAGAAATTACTTTCTTTCTCAAGTTGTTCAAACAATGTTGCTGAAGGCTTATGACATCTTTAATTTTGACTCTTTTTCGGCGTTTGATAATGAAACCGGCTGAAGTTTGAATGCTTTTTTAATGTACTGCTGTTGCTTGTTCCAATAGAGATTTTATCCCTCGTGTTTTTATTCAAAATATTTAATTTAAGCAAAACCCATTTATTGACACGTAAGATGTCGCTGATACCAAAAAATGCTAACGGCAGCTAGTATATCGCGCACCTGAATCAATTTTTTATACCGAACTAATCCAGTTTAAGTAGTAGGTACTTAAGGGGCTTGAAGAGAAGCTTCGACAGGGAAGAAGAAGGAACATGCAGAGAAAGAGCTCTAATAAATGCAATCAAGGCGTAATAAGCAAATAATTGTTGCACAATTTATCTGTTTATGTTATCTGTCTTATTTAACGAAAAAAGTCAAGTTTCTCCAGTTCTACTTAATAACAAGTAAAATTTCTCTGCTACTCAAGTTATCCACATCATTTTTTCATTATTTTTTTCTAGCTAAGTAACACTATTTCGTAGTATAAAAATTTCGTTCTTCTTGTGCCATTAGATCAAACTGAATTGCAAACAAAAATGTAGCTCTCTATTTGCCTGACAACCCACAAACTCGCAACTTTCTAATATGATCTCAACATGTATCGTACAAATGATATCTGGGGCGGCTTCAAAAACCGAAACGTTCGTAATCTACTAGTGATATGGAATTTGAGCTTTAATTCACTGAAAACTCGATTTTTGTACAAAAATAACACATTTCAAAAATAAAAATTACTGTATTGTTAAGAGCTACTCAGCTTCCACTTTATCTATATCTGTATTCGGCAAAGAAAATAACAATGGCTAAAACTAAATCTCCTGAGACGCATGACGTAAATTTTAAGAAAGTTTATAAACACTGCGTAGTTCATTCAGTGAAACTGTATAAAGTTTTATTTTATTTATATTTTTCATTAGTAAATCATTTCCATTTTTAGTCTTGCTAATTAGTTGAAGACTCCTAAACTATACTTTCGGTACTTTTATTCCTAGTTCCTTTCTGCCAAAAAATCCAATGATTTATTAAAGAATTAATTAAATATGGTTGTAACATACCTTATCCGAATACATCCTCGTCTGAATACTCCGGTTACGTTTTCTAAAGACAACCTTAAATAGTACAAACAATATATTTACCTTAAGGTCTTATCAGTCTGCTTCGCTAATCAAGCTGATAATAAACTACATACACCTGATAACATAGCATTTTGTCATTATTGTATATTGTGTCGTGCAAGTTGTGTTCGTGAAGCCTTGAAGTAAGGGTGTGAAAAAATCTATCAAAATGGAAACAGAGAAGAATCTGGATTTTGGAATGCGGTGTATTAAGTACATGCTATGTGTTGCCAATCTAATGTTTGTGGTAAGGAGTTGTACTTGACTTTGTTAATTATTGTGTTCCATACTGATAAAGGTTATTTTTGTAAGACAATTCGAGGTGTATATTAGCTTGATTGCAATATATTTAGTGTAAATCATTCAAGTGGCTGATTACGTTTTAATCTACTATTATCTGATTCTAGAACAGGATATTTACTCTTTGTTCTGTTGGATTAATGTATTTAATTCGCTAGCTTAGCGTAGGATTTAAAAATAACTTTATTTCTCATTTGGAGTGCGCTGCTACTAAGAAGGCAAAAAATGGAAGCATTGAACTATGCCTAAGTCCAAGTTAAAACTGCTACTATTTTTCTGAGCTTGGCTAATGTAAAATACACAAATAAGTTTATCGAGCAGCTGTTAAAAGCTATAACTATTTATAAGTTATAAAATAGTCAACAAACATATAATTTTTGTAATCATTTTGTTTTAAGTCAGCCCATAATCTTTTTTGTAATCCTAAATTTCTTTTGAATACTCTTATTCTGCCTATGTTAACTTAATAAAATATGTCTGGTTTGTTCATTGAAATCTTCGAAGAATATTAATATATTTTAGAAAAGTTGTCATTACAGCTTCTTCGAGCGCAAATTGCAAAACTGCATCTTGCATTTAAAATTATATTTTTTAAAACTATTTCGTCAGACTATGCAAATCTGTTCTATAATTATATTTGACATGAGGCGAAAGCCAGCAAAATTCAGAAAAAGTACAAATGCGATTTAAACTAATCAGCTATCTCGAATTATTCTAAAAGTACAACTACCCTGATCTTCCAATCGTTTAAAAAATAAGCAGAGTAACTTGTAACCATTCGTGTCATGTCAACCTTTATTTCTTCTTTAGATATAAGATTTAATAATTTTAAACTTTGTAAGTTTTAATATTGATCTTTTCTTCTTTCTACACTCAAGCTTCCTCTGCAAATATTTTTCGCAAGATTTAAATTTATGGAATCGAGCAAGATTTTTTGTAATAAAATCAATAAAATTTTATAAAATGTATTAAACATTCGTCTTAGTTAAACGCAAATTCAGGAATTGAAATTGAGGACTTGCGACCCGTTTATTCCCTTCTATAGTTGCACTAAAGAGTTACGTTGCATGTAACCTGCTCGATTTTTATCAAATGCTTTATTTTATTTATATGTTACATATGGATTGAACCACGAAAGTGAATAATAATTTATTAAGTGATTATTAAGATTATTTAAATAAGATGTCACGAGTGATCTTAAGCACTAATCATTAAGATTAAGACCGAATACCAAGCAAAAACATGACGTTGAGTCTGCATATATTTTGTGCTGATTACATTCTATTGATATCCATCATTGCATCTCCCTCTAGTTGAAAATGCTACCGATTTCAAGCAAATGTTTACTGACGAATTAAAATAAAATAATACCTGTATTTTTCAATCTTATTAAACATATCTGATTTTTGCACTTCATTTAACAACAATTTAATCATTTCAGACGAACAGACGAACATACAACGCAATATCACAACTGTTGCGAATAATAAATTGATTAAAATATCTGATAAATCAACAGTTTTGGCGCTTATGAAATTTAGGAGCTTATTCATGTTGTCAACAGTTTTTCAGAATAATTTTAGAATTGGATGATCGTCTAGATTCCAAACGCAGCTCCCTTTGTAGGTCTCATATTATTTCCGATACTCAAATCCAAACATGTGGTCTAAATGGAAATATTTTAAAACTAACTGCTTTTAATCCACTATAAAAATCAGTACAGGTGGAATTTAAATTTGCTGCTCATTAATTTTATATTTCTCTTTCAGGTCATTTGAAGCAAAAACTTCAAATTGAGGTCAAAAAGATTTCTAGTGCTAAACATTAAAAACATTCTTATCGTACTTTTATCACATTGTATTAATAATGCTTTTAATCTCCAATGTTGATAGTCAAGTGGTAGCCATTTGTTTTATTGTTCTAAGTATCGCACAACGTAATAAATTAATTAATTTCGCACTAAAATCGATTGTTTAGAATATGCGGATTATTCAAATCGAATCAAATCGGCCACTCTGTTAACTTTTAATTAATACGAAAGCAGATTAAATTGGCATTAATCAAAAACAAAATATATTATTGATGAGTTGTTGATGTCACGGGCGATACTAAACGGTGTGTTTCAAAAATTGATGAAAAAGTTCCATCCGTTTGAAATGCACAGAAATACCAGAAGTCTATTTAAAGCGTTTGCTTGTTTAATGAAAAAGTGGATAAATGATTAATTAATAAAGGATGCAATGGTTTCTGGAAATTACGAAAGAACATTTCAGCTAATCAACCTCATATGAAGAACGTAATTTAAAATAGCAAGATCGAAACGTTAATATTCTGCCACTAAAAATAAACGTTCCGGGGTTCGGTCCCATTTAAGAAAACACAATTTCCCTGCAGTTTTAAGATTCTCATCCTAAATAAATGCTATAAAACACCAGTACCACGCTCATTTCTGTCTCATTCTGCCCTCGTTTGTATTTTACTTCTATAATTCATATAAGTTCAAGGAATTCTAAAAATGTTTTGTTGTCAATGGAATGATGGAAAAATTTGTTTGTATTCAGCCGCAAAACAAGCAACTAAACATTTCAGAGTGCATTACTTGAATAAAGTCTTCTTTTTGTTTATGCTTACGGTTCAGAAGAGCGTGTGTCTTCCTACCAAATAGTATACAGATTATGTATTTATATAAAACGCACAAGCCACTATATTTTGCAGAAAACGGTGTCAATCTAAAACCTCAGCTTTATTAAGTTATAAACTGAGAACTAAATGCAAAAAAAACATCTGAAACTATTCAGTTTAAGGGTATGTTGAATTATTTTCATTGAATTACAGATCGTTGGATTGCTGCTTATATGCATCGGTTACACCATCAAAACCATTTATCTAAACTTCGATGAATTTATGGAAACTTATTACTACAACCCCTCGACCCTGGCAATTGTTATTGGATTCTTCATTTTCATTGTAGCTTTGTTTGGTTGCATTGGTGCTTTGAAGGAAAGCACATTTTTGGTGAATAGCGTATGTAACACCCCAATAAAATTTTCGCTTGTTGTAATAATATTGTTTTTCTCAGTATGCGTTTTTCCTGACAATTATCTTTATTTTACAATTGTCGGTCAGCATTGCTGCGTATGCGATGAGATCCAACATTGAAAATTCTGTACATAGTAACATGCTTCAAGCCATGAAATACTATGACGTGAGTTACAATGCTTTCACATGGAATTCTACTCAATACAACGTAAGTATGCAGCTTAAAATTTAGCAATCCAGTAAGCAGCGGCTTTACATTATATGAAAATATTATAAATATATGAATTACTTCCAGCTTCAATGCTGTGGAATCTACAGTTACGGCGAGTGGTCATTATACTCTAATCGATCAGGATTTGCGCTTACCTCAATTGTAAAAGACAAACATACCACCCTCTACGTCCCGACTACATGCTGCATGAACGAACAATGTTCTTATGACTCCCTGTTCAAAGATGGATGCCTCAATCGTCTAGTGTATGTTGTTTCCCAATGTGCTCTTCTTCTTGGCGTTGGTGCTCTTTGCGTAGCATTTATTCAGGTGAGATAATAAAGTATATTGAAAAAATCTTCTATAAGCTAGATCGCTTTTAGTTGTATAAGGGAGTAAAGTACTTCTTGGTTTAATTTTAAAAATTTTAGTGTGAGCATTACATTTCATGTATCAAACACGATCTGGGCAAACATTTATCTGGGCAAAGATCAGTACAAACAACATAGCAACAAAAAACAATATTCAAATAAATGAGCGCAAATCGACTCTCCAATAAAATTGAAACTATGATTGTCTGAAAATTTTATTGATTAAATTGAACACTCTAAATAGCACCATTAATATAAACATATTTTATCCCAAAGCTGATTTCGGAAAAACTTGTATGTTGAAGTCTACGAATTTAACTCGATGCTCTGAAAAAATCCAAATTACATATTTGTAAGGACTTTTTAATGTGATTAATAAGAGCGTCTTACAAATTTGTTTCCCCCCGTAAAATTACAGCAAAAGTAATCGTTCTTTCATCAAGGATATATTTATTGTTTCTTTGAGTACTCATCTCGATCGGTTTTTGAGAGGACTGCATTTAGCAAACGATATGCTTTGATAATAGCAGACGTAAAACATGCAAGCATTCTGCATGTAGAATGCTTGGTGTATTTTGATATTATCAGAACAAATAACACTTAAGGAAGGGAAATAATGTAGGAAATTTATATAGTAGCAATTTGAAGTACATTTTTCGAACAGGTTGAATGATGTGTTTTTAAATTCTCACTAAATCGACACTGTGCATATGGGAATTCGTAACTTTCGACTCAGGCATTTTAGTTCCATGATCTGAGAACACCATTGTTCCAAACTGTTGATCTAAACTTTGACTATTTTCAAATGGCACAGTATGAATTCTAGTAACTCTGTATTAACACAGTTATAACAGGCAGATTAAAGGTGTGCAAATCAAAATAAGAACTAAAATAGAATACGAAATGGAAAACTTCCAAAATTAGGAATAATAAGGTAGATATCATAACAAGTTATCGACGTTGGATAACGAAGTGGACAACGGACAGTGGCAAGATAATGTTTTGCTTAAGCGTGCAGGCAAATTAGGTAAATATTCCAAAATTGTCGAAGTTGTGGCGAAGTTTTCAAAACTTTCGAAACATCCAGCTTTGAATGCCAAACTAGGACAGAAAGTTTTGAAGAAAGTGCAGAATGCCAATCGTTTGCAAACTTGATAACGCTGTATATAGAACCAGTTTAGCTATTTTGAACGTCACCATTCGAAAGAAGACACAGCAAGAAGATTAAACACAATCAATATGAAAATCTGGTCATATTTGTAGGATATTTTCAGTAACAAATGGAATGTATTTACAAACTGTTGTCGTCAGCATTTTGATCAAATAATTTTTGCTTTTATTCCAATCAAATATTTCTCAGATTTGTACGTTGTTACAGGGCCTTCCAGTTTTTGATAGCTAGGCTTCAAAAGACAACTAAACTTAAAATGAATACATAAAGTTTATATAAACAAGGGTTTTGTAACCGTTAGTGCTCGAGATGATAGAGATTCAATTCATTTTTTAAATACATGATTTCCGTTTGTGAATCAGTAAATGACAATTACAGCTGGATAAAAAGCAGACTTAGTTCTACTAAAATCTTGTAGAAACGCTCTCAATCTCGCCAACAATGTTTTAGGCTTTCGTGACAAATGATGAAAAAAAAACGTTTTTTTTTTGTGCGTTTACGACTTCGTGGAACATAATTTCTTCTTGATGTTTCGCATGCTCGACGTGGATTGATCAACGTAGGTAGCAACATCAGGAAGAAGTTCCTATACAGAATGGCTGAAGCGCTTCAATTTCAAACTATGCTCGCAAAATAATCTTTGGGTTCTCAAATTGGCGAACAAATAAAAAATAAAAATGCTTGCGTCTGCGTAAAGTTCTTAATCGAAATTTCCTTTTTCGTTTTTATCAAGGTGATATACAAGGTAAAAATTCTGCAAACGTGGACTCATTAGGAAATAAAAAAAATAAAATTTGCGGTTGAGAAAGATTGTCTAGATACCTTTTATTTTTTATACTACTTTTTTTGAAAATTAACTATTCGTTGGCGTGGGCATATGAATGGATTCAATGGAATATCCATGTATTTCATGTTATATTGATGAAGATGTCGAAACACCGCAGGAAAATACTCAATCATTTTATTAAGATACATTTTAAACCGTGATATAATTGCAGCAACAAACCGATTTTAAACTTTAGTACAAGAAATCTATCTAAATCTTACTGAAAAAGTAAATGTTTAGCGCTGATCACTGACGTAGGTTCCTTCGTACTTCATACACTTTTTCCAATAAAACAAAATTGATAAATACATTCGAAACATAATGACCGAATAACAAAACTATTCTGCTTAAGAAAGTTTCCGAAACGTCTTGAACTACTGAAAGAATGACACTTTTCTGCAGAACTCGAAAGCAAATGGCAATAGCGAATAACGCTTTTTGGTTAAGCTGAGCGATTTTGTACAGTTTTTGGTTCTGGAAAAGTTAATCTTAGGCCATTTGCATGTTTTCAACTAGCTCTTTAGTTCGTTGAAGGATTTCAGTAGATAACCCATTTACCGCTTACTATGTGGACATTTTTAAGTTTCATTTTGAAAATTTTTGAATCGCCAAACAACAATTTTTTCAAGTTGATCAGACTGTCAGGATTATTCTGACCACTAAATGTTTGATTGTTCTTGAATTCATTCAGCAGATTCTCATTACTGTTTTTGCTTGCCCTAAGACATTAATTTTTCATTCAAATCTTAAAGAATTGCGGTTCAGTCTACATTAGGCCAACACTAGAACTACGAAACACAAGAGAATCTGCAGATTGGGACAGTCGGCAAAATCATTTGTGGAGAAGCTCGCATTGATGGAAATTCTTCATAAATTCTCGTCAAAAAAGCAGATGCCTTGTGACATATCACTTGTTCCCAAGAGTTACGAGGGAAGCCCTTTCAACAGAAGGGAATAATTTAAAGCGACCAGAGCTTTTACCATACAAACTGTCTACTATACAAACCACACCAACATGAAAATGCTTGCAAATTTCGGAATATTCTTCAGTACAATATCAGCCCCAAACATCCATTGTATTTAATTACATTTTTCTTTAAATTAATTCTAATTAGTTCTCATAAATACCTGTATTTTTTTGCATTAGGTACTAGGTATCGTGTTTGCCTCGATGCTGGCTAAATCCATCAGAAAGGTTAAAACTCAGAGACTGGTGGAGAGAGAGGAAAGAAGGCGCAACTTCTACGATCAAGTGGTTAAGAACCAGGAGGCAAAACCCAAGACTCCTATGCTGTATACCCCCAAGGATTCCGAAGCCTAATTGCTGGTAAAAGTCCACAAAAAAAATAAAAAAATAAATTTTGATTTAATAACATAACACTCTTTAATTACTCTATCAAAAATTCTTTAAGTATAACCTACTTACTTATTATGTGCTAGATAATTGATTGCAGCCATGCTATTGTCAATATATATGTGATAGTAAGGTATAGGGAAAAGACCAAATCTGATTTACAGTTTACTGTAAATAGCAAGATTAGGAAAGTGCTTTCGTGCAATTCTTTCAACGTTTTACAGTTTTCGTATTTTTGTCTTCATAAAATGTATATTTCTGTTTCATTGTAACAGTAACGTTTGATAATAAAGTTGTGAAATACTTGAGATGTCTGAACACCTAACCTAGAGTATTAATTAATTAATTGTGTTAATTTATCAAGACACATTCTAACATTTTCCTTGCTCTAGAACTACCTATTTCAAATTTTACCTTCCTTCCCATATTTTATTTCAACTTCTTCCGCTTCTATATCGGATAAATATTTACCAGCTGAATCTCTATATTCTTCAATGAAACTAGGGAATAAAACTCAATTACTTTATTGTTAAAATTAATAGTTTTACGGTGTGAAGAGTGAACTTTTACATGGGCCAGAGCTCTATCGGGTTGTTCACACCACTTTACAATATTGTGTATATTACATATTAATGAAAAACCAAAGTAAAATAAGATTCAATATATCCCTTACTCACTACGTTTTCTTCATAGAATTATCATTTATTATGTACAGTTCACATTGAGAATTATTTTATCATATCATGCTAGAGTGTGAGAGAAATCTTAATAATAATTACAAAAAAATGGAATGTAATGAAATGATATATTTTTACTGATTGCTAAGTTTAAATAGATCATAATCTTCTCAGAAAAGTTGAGGATTTCAAAATTAATTTAAGTTTCAAAGTAAAGACTTCTAAGTACAAGTCTATGGTTTTGGAATCATCCTAACCTTTTGTATAAGCTTCTTAACAACTGTTTCATACTTTTCATATTTACCATTCAACAGGATTTATTTTTGTTCATTTCAAGAAAATACACTTCAACTCATACAGAAAGAATCAGTTTGGCTTTTGATGATGATTCAGGAATGAAAAATTCCAAGCTTTTGAGCAGAATTTTCAACGCAGCTTAGAAAGAGGCATTTCTGAAAGTAACTTAGAGATACTTTGAAAATAGTCTTTCAGGCGAGCACATTTATGAGCAGCTAAAGTTTCCACTAATTGAATACATATTTAATGCTCCCGCTAACTATACATACAGTTAATGGTATCAGAACATTTTAAAGCACGCAATAGAAGAGAAAAAGTCCTTTTCAACGAGACTTAATTCGCAGCAATTGGATGTTTGAAACCGAATATGCCGTATGTTATTCTCTGCATCTAATCCCAAGCATAAACATTTCTATAAACATTGTCCGGAAATGCGTAGTCTGGGATTTACAGACGACAAAAGTTCAAGTCGGTTAAAGACTAGTCCAAAATGTATTGTTCTCGAACAATAAAAATACACATTTTTTAAATTTTATTCCTCATATCGAAAACTGCGAAGTAGGCTGAATTATGCATTTTCCGATCTTGAGTCCTCTTTGATCTCTTGAGTTCTATTTTTTAGTTCTCAAGGTTTGTTTCTGTTAGCAAAGTAGTCAGGGATTCAAATAAAAAATTAATGTTCGTTTTTTTGCTGTTTCACTGCGTTACTATAACATACAATCTATTTGGATTTTATTTGCCAAATTTCATTAAAATATCAGCAACATTTTTGAAATAGTATCAAGAAAATTAGTTTCCAAATCATCATTTGTCATACTGTATATCTTGAACCTTTTCCGCACTTACATTTATAGGGACTTTGATGATTACATTTTAAATAGAATAATTTGTCGGACTATAACTTCTTTCTGAGACAAGTTGTATAGCGACAAGCAAATGCGGTAAAATAAATACCGTAATATGTTTTTCAAATTCATTGTGACAATTATCTTATTAGTGCAGAATAGTTTTCAGGAATTTCTTCGGAACAATTTGAGTGGAGGCTTGGATGGCCGAAAATACTCAGTGGCTTACGCCACTAGGACACTGAATAATGCAAGTATTAAACAATACAGTAGAAATAAAAATGTATTCCAATATTCGAAGAAGAATTGTTTAGAAGTTAAGTGGGGCTTTACCATTTATTTTAAATTATTTCCCTTCCATTCCTATTTACATCATTTACCACTCTTACCGCCATTCTATTACCAACTTACTAACATTTAATTATAACCTTGAAAAGCAGCACTGACTGTATAAAACTTAGCGTCTTTAATGAGCTGTTGTAGGTTTCTTAAACTGTTTTAACTTATTAATCATTAAATTGTTTTTTTGGTTTACAAAATCGCCAAAAGATAGTCTTTCTGTAGCCAGTTGCAAAACCAATTATTCTGACATGATCTATTTAAACCTCCTATGTACAATGCGGTTTTACATACTTTTTAAATGCGAAATTGCAGAAAAATTATGAATCGTGTTGCATAAAATAATTTGCAAAACTGTGAAACAATGTTAATATTAATTATAATATTATACTAGTGAAATTACTTGTATTAATGGCAAATAAAATGGATGTTTCTTACGTGCCAGTGCATAAACGTGCGCTAGTACCTCATCTTGGAAAGAAAACGTTTGTTAGGAAGCCCGCACACGCACATAAATTCTTTCAGGCTGCACGTGAGGTCATAAACGTTCCTACAACGCCGATTAATGAATTCTCATTCTTCATCCCTCAAATTATTGAGGCACTTTAATCGACATTTATTTTGGGTTTTAATGGTGTTATATAGCCCGTGTGTCAAGTCAATGATTATTGTAGAAATGTGAAGGATTCAAAGATCTTAATACTTGCTCTTAAGTTTGCATTTATCAATTCATCATTCTGATGCTGAGCAATGTGACTGAGTTGAGAAACCATTTCGAAATGGCTAGAAAATTCAGACTTATTCAATTCACTTTTGCGGTTTCTGTAATAATCTCCTTCAAAATTTCCCCGATTACGATCGCTTCCAAGTTCTAATGTTTCTGGCAATGGTTCATGCGATTCACATTTTGATACCGGGTATTTTTAAGTGCAGAATCTGTACATATTGTTGCTGTATTTGGGTCACAAATGTAAACGCCACTGTCCCAATATTTCCGTTAGTCAGCAGTTTTATAGTTCAGTTAATTAAATCAATTATTTGCATTTATAATAGTTCACGTGATTGAAAAGCAAGAAAATACGCGTTAACAAAAAAAATCTATATTTGAAGTCTACTAAGAAATAGGCCTATTATAAAAACCTTTAAACAATTGCATTTACTGAAAAATGTAAATAACATAGAATGTTTAATAAAACTGGATATTATTCTGAGCAATCCACGTATATTTCCATTCTAATAGCACAGATGAAAACAACGCTATCAATGTAGAAAGAAAAATTCCGCTAACCTTCGTACAATTTGAGAGTCAAAATAGCCCAAGTATTATATTCGGAACATTTTACAAAAATATCAGATATTAGTTGTTTAAAGGTGTTAAATCAATTCAGATAATTAACATATTTGGTTGCTGGCAAATAGCAAATCGAGAGCTCTTAATAAAATTCTATTGAGTAGATTAAATTAATTTTGAAATGTTCTTTTCACTGTTGAAAATGCGATTCTGCAATTCTTTTCAAAAGGGTATAAGAGACAGATAGAAAACCCCATTTAAAATTTGCAACATACAGCAACCAGCAACAGACACATTTGCAATTTCCACTCTATAATGGGCCATCTTGTCGGCTCAACATATTCTATTTGATTCTCTTTGATAATTAATGGTGCTTCTGTTATTGTTGAATTACTATTTGTAGTAATATTTGTTTTAATAACTGATAGTCAGTTTACTAAAAATTAAGAAATATAAGAACAGAACACAATTAATGAATCAGTAGCAATTGAACTCTTCGTTGGCCATTTTCTTGTTCAGTTCCTGAACTTTTAACTTCTTTTTGTTTTAGGAAAATTAAACCGTTTGCCTGCTTTTGAACAACATTTACGCTCAAATTTTGCACTTACTTGACTTCTTGACTATTGAGATACAGAAACTTTTCCTTTATTGATTCATCAGTTTCGATACCTTAAGTGGTTTTAGCACGTCTTGATGACGGATTGTCCAGGATTCGAAATATCAGCAATCATTTACGGCTGCCACATTGGAAATTAGCAACTTTCTATTGATATTTTTTTAGTTTTCTTACATACTTCCACTAGTTAAAGTTCTATCTAGGAAAATTACGCACGCTTTGTTTTCGAACCTGAAAATATCAATGAAATTTACTTTTGGATATGGTTTTGGATTTATTTTAAATTTTAGGAGTGCAAGAACTCACTTAATCAACGCTCTTCATTATTCTAAATTCTTACTTTTTCAAAGATCAGAAGTTTGTCAAATTTTCTGTAATAATCTATCTGAAAATTTTAATGCTTGATTGTTCTTGAAAAAATTCAGCTTAATGGTCGATAAATGGTTTTTCAGACAATTTCAGAAAAACTTTTTAGTTTAAACTTGCCGTTTCAATATGCATGTAAACGTCTATACACTGGTTGCAGTAGCTAAGATATATCCATATTCGAATTGAAATTAAACATGCCCTGAAAACCGTTGAAAACACAGTAAATGAAAGAAATGCCTGTCTAAACCTAACTAATGTATATACAAAATCCATTCTGAAATATATATAATTTAAATATATCTTCATAGTAATATTAACGTGTAATCTCTTTCGTAATTCGTATCTTATCCATTAAAATTTATATGCTAGAATTTAACTAGATTTATGTACAACTTTAATATGAGTTTTGAGCCGTACCTTTAATATCTGTAACTTTGAATTATCGACCTTTCAATCAACAGTAATTAAAAACACAGAACAATTTAAACTTTCTCACAGTCCTTATAGTTTCATTGAATTAATTAATGGTGAATCTAATACTACTAAGCTTATCTTACACAGCATCGTTCAGAAGAGTGATTTGGGGAGGCAGAAATTATGTTCAATTTCCAGGAATTTAATTGTATTTTTTTGTAGCAAAAACATATTTGCTGTTTACCAGGATACAAATTTACGTGGATACACAGTTTTAGTTTCCAGACTACTGCAAATAATGTAAGTTTGGGGGTAAAATCTCTTTAAAATTGCACGTGGATTATGTGGAGAAATATAGGCGGATTAATGTTATAAATGGAAATTTATTCAGGATATACGTCTTCCTGGCAGAATTTTGAAACTAATATCTGAAAACCCATGTCACATATTAATAGATATAAATTTCGCAGAATCCCTATTTGCAAGAAGGAGAAACATGCATGTGTAAATCTATTCAGCATGAAAGAGTCAATGGAATAGTCACTATAGGTTTGTCTGGCTCGACTTTCTTATAGTCCTAACCACCGTTAACTGCGCCCGGATAAAATACTTTATTACCATGAATGATTTTTTGTGATTAATTACATGGCCTTATTATAATCCCTTATGGTCGAGCTAGTAGAAAATATACCACTTATATCACAAACCAAACATTAGGATGACTACTCCATTACATTAGGATAGTTCGACAGAATTAGAAGTCACGAAGTTCTTTCTGCCTGGTTTCCATTTAACTGTATGCAAGCAAGACGTATGCAATGAAGGCCAGCACTTCTATGGAGGGACCCATTCTTTGGTTACCTCCATGCTGCATAGCTTCAGGATGCTCACCTATACAAAAGCAAATCGTCAAATCGTATCAAAATACTTTCTACTTAAAATGATGTTTTATGGCATTCTTACTACACAATGAGCAAGTTAATGTGCTTTTATCGTCCATTAAAGATCTATAATTAAAGTTCTCAAGTAGTTATAGTGGCTTTGCAATAGACATTTTCATTAAGGAATAACTCGGCACTTTTCCGTACTTTTGATAGCTGAACTTTTGTATTGCGCAATTTAAAGTTTCCCGAGAAATGATCGAATTTCCAAGAAGCGACGATAGTAGCAAGACCTTAGTTACGATATCTATTTAAGTTGGCGAATTTAATCTCTTTGCACCATTGTTTATGAAATATTGCAACCACTGCAATTATTTGCTGGCACTTTAATAGTTTTGGTTTGTCAGAATCTGCAATGTTACATAAGTTACAAACAACTTAAAAAAGTCGAATAGAGACCGACATGAATGTTAATATGTTTGAGATTGCGGATAATTCTTTATTATTTTTATATGGTCCTTCCCTCGTATAAGTTTAGAAATGTAATAAAAATATTAATCTAGCAATTAAGAGGAGTATTTGAAAAAATGAGTGGAAAACAAAGCCATAGAAACAGAGCCGGAAGTTAATATGGAAAATGCGACAATAGTAGAGAAGCACATTAGAATGGTACAACGGAAGGCAAAGAACTTTTTATGCCACAGACTTAGTGTAAAGCAAGAAATTAATAAAAAGTTCAAAAACCATTTAGAAGAACGCACATCCTTTGTGGTTGACCTTAGAAAACAATGAAGCTTGCAGACAAGCTTGCAAGAAATGAAGAATAACATGAAATAAACGAATCGGATATTTGGAATATTAGTAATAATAGTTCAAACTAACGACAATTACATCGTTTCAGTAGCCGTGTTGAACAGTAAAAAATACACAAGTGCCCTTGAAAGCCTTAATAAAATTCAAAATAATTAAAATCTTAGAAAAAGACGAAATTAGCCAGCTAGCGCTAATAGTCATTTCGATAGACCATGCGACGGGAGACCTGCCTCTATCTTCTGCAATAGATTTATCAAACTTTCCCTTTTCCCATTAAAGCGCACTCTACTAACAACAAATATTTTTTATTGTTAATTGTAAGTTTTAATGTTTAATTTAAATTTGTCAACATAATTTTACGAATTTTAATGTGAGCAGGTTCATGTCGGTCCGTTTCCCGTCGTGTTTTTGGTGTTCCTCTGACCTTTGTTTTGCACTCCTGGGGTTTGCTTATGATTTGACGAGTAAGTTTTTTACCATACTTTATTCCATTCATGTCCTTGACTTCCATGTGATTACCTCTACTTTTTGTGATTTCAGCGGCCCTGATTATAACTTAACAGTCGAAAGCACTTGGCCATATTTGATATTCAAGGGTTGAATTAAACCACACCCACGATTATACACACACTATATTACAAATTAACATGTTCTTTGATTGGATTTTCTTCAGTGTGTACACACCCACTTCCTTCCTTTCTATTGTATAAGTCTCATTGCAGTTTTTAGGGTCAACTTAACGTTTTCGGTTAATTTCTGTATTTTTTCTTGACATTTTTTTGCGTTTTTTCTTCTTGGAGATATTGATGTTATGTTTATACGGTCTTATATAAAAATAATATATTTTCAGAACTGTTGACTTTGTGCGCAATAATTTTCATGTAAATATTATTGAAATTTCGATACCTGCTGAAAAAGCAACTTCGTTAAATTATTTAATGTAAACGGTACAAATTTATCTGAATTCGCTAAACCAACACTTTTATAAAATTAGTGTTCTTTGAATAGATTCTAGATAGTGTGCTTTGGATTGAAAATATCAAAACTAAACATTTTAAATTCAAGTTAATTCCATCGTTTTCGTGTATTGCAATCGATAATTTTGATACTTTTACAATAGAAAAACAAATACTAGAATATTCTTCTCTAAAGCCTTCAGAGCCAAGTGGATCGATTTTATTATGTTTCCGAGGAAATGCGCATTTCAACTTTGGTCGAAAATTCCACCCTACGCAGATATTTTCAATTAGAATATTCTAAATGGCTAAATATATAATTTCTCCTACTTATACAATCCTGGCCAACACATTTCAACTACCAAACAGCACGCAGCTTATATTCATAAGCTCTCATCTCAGGACTGTAACATTTGCTCTAATTAAGCCACTTTTCCAACTGCTCTTGTTCCGTTTCAAACCCTGTAACAGTTTGTTCGACATGACACCCTTAATAACCGCTATCCAGTTTGAACACGATCCGCCAGAATGAGAATTTGGGGTTGTGTGTTGATATGCTTCAACAAATTAGAGGGTCAAGTACTTCCCTTTCAGCCACTAATATGTATTCACTGTTTCATTGTCTTTAGACCATCTAGCTACCCCTTTACCAGCTTTTCGTTATCTAGCCAACAAACATTGTTTTAGTGTCGTCTTTCAACTATAACATGAACTTGTCCAATTTGTCTTTGGAAACTTATTGAAACCACTTACTTCATTGTTGAATGTGTTAAATATTGCTAAATATACACAGTTAAAATATAAAGGAGCCGTTCAATTAAAAAAGTACATACTTTTTAGGGCAAAAATGTGCTTTTTACAACCTACAATGCCTCAAAAAATAATAATACACATCCCTATTCTTGCTTCGATTATATTCGAAAAAATAAGTCATAAACATCTGGAATTCTGAATAAACTAATTTCAAGAACAGTGTTAAATCTGTAATTTTACAACCAATTAATTCCTTATTGCGGAAGGTAAGAATTTAAAGTCACAAGTGACAACCCTTCTTCCCCAAATATTTAATTAATAATTTCGTATAATATTACCTGTCTGCCGCTGATTAGTTTTCTCGTTTGCCAAATATTAATAACACAGAGTTACTCGAAGAATTTCGAAGTCTCCTCCACTTTCCTCGAGTATTAATTAGCTAATTGACTTTCTGGTATTTTAATAAAAATTATCGGTTGCTTGGAAATAGGCAAGTAATACCTGACTTATTGAATATTTGCGAAAAAGCTCTTGAATATCTCATCGAGAACGACATTAACGATAAAAGTGAGGTAATTTATTACGATATTAATAATGACACGTTTCTATAAAAAATATTAATTAGAAAACTTATAAACTGCTTTTAGATTATTAGCTGCATTTTAGGATAATTTGTATTTGTATATAGAAAGCACGAAAAAACGTTCTTGAACTTTTTGAAAGTGAAACGAGTGAAGAAGTTGTTCCTTGAAGTCATCAAAACCTCGTGTACTGAACATTTTGAAATATTTCGCTAGGCAGCAATTAATCGCACAGTCGTGCCCTAGGTTAGTATCAACGGATTTTAAATTAAAATTTGTATAAAAAATACATTCAACCAGTTTTTTTTCTCTCAATTGTCACATTTATGTTGCTTACGGATACAGTTTTGTTTCTTGTCAACACTTTGTCGAAAATGCATGAAGAAATAAAAGTCAAAAATAAACGCAAATATTTGTATCTGCCCTGATGGGACATCTTGTATAGTTTGATAAATTTATACAAGAATTCTTCGGTTTCAGGATATTCAAAAAGCAATTGATAAAAATATTCTCCAGGTAGGGATTAACGTTTTGGTCCATCCCACATATCAAAAATGAATAAAGAAGCCGAGAGAAAACACGTAAATGTTCAAATGGATCCCTTTGTGCTTCTCAAAGTGCGTTGCGCGAAATAATCCAATAAAACTTAAATTTAAATATGTACACAGTGCCTCACCTCAATTTGTCATTTCCAATTTAAAACCGTTTCGGGTTTTTACAAAATACAACAATTCTTTTATTGAATAAATATTGACACGCTCAAAACATTTCAATACATATTGAAATAACATGGCCATGCAAACGAAATTTTATGTTCTATTTAGATTCGAAAATTGCATTTGTTGACAATTTTATAATTAATTAAATATGTTTCACATATTTGATCAAATTAGTGTTGAAGTTGAGTGATCCGATGTTGTGCAGTTTACGGAAAATTGTTAATCAACCTATGCTTTAACAAGTTTTAAATTTAATTGGATTACATTTTATCTGTGTCGGAAGCGCGTGTACAGATGAATGGCTTTGAATCAAAAAAATATATTTCCTTCTCCTTAATTGATGAGAATCGCCAGTTTCCTAGTTCTTGGCTGATTGGTTTACTCTTTTCAATACAAGACCATATTTTAAAACCATGTTGATAATAATAAATGAACTAGTCCGAGAAAGTGTAAAATTATCAAATTAGCGGAAACAAATAGCGAGTGTTAAAAGGTAAGTATAGTATTAGTGTGTCGTTATACTTACGATTTTAGTCACAATTTGAACAAACATTAAATACTGAGCAAAACCACATGGATTATATTGTTTACCTAATCAATTATTCATATTAAATAGCATCAGATTACGGTGTTACATCGAATGAAGACATACATAAATTAATGCGAAATTGCAGCAGCATTGTGTCTTTTTGCCAAACGTTTCTGAGAAGAAATAATATTAATGCTAGATCACCTCTACCTGACGCATATTACCTCTTTCTATCAATAGATAATAGTACAAGTCGACATAAAAACAGTTCAAAGTTTGATTTATCCTGGCTCGAACGTACTGTATCGTAGAAAAGCAATTTTTTATGTTGTTCAATTCTCGTAAGTCGGTATGAAAATAGCAAAAAAGCGCTTAATTAGTCAACCCGTACAAGCTTTAAACAGTTTATGTTTTCAGTGCCAAAGGAAATGATTAAAACATGTCTTCAGCTGAAGCATTAACATTCAGGCCTGGAAGATGATCGTTGTAACCAATAAGAAGCAATTGAACAAGCCTTCAGCCTCGTATGTCAAACTTTGATGCGGCAAGATTCCTTTGGATTTCCTTCCTAAAGCACTCAAAATTGATAAGGAAACGTATTACCGCTAGGTTTTTGAAAATTGTTGTGCCAATTGAGTATGTTGTTGTTAATGATATGAATTCTTGTTCATTTTGTTTATGATACACAAAGCGTTGATATGGGTATGAATGCCGAATAGATGAGATAATTTCCTATCATTTTCATTTATTTCTCTCTTTAATCATTTCTTCAAGGTGCTCTTCGCACAGAACATTTGTGACTGCACTTATTTAAGTATATTGGTTTTTTACATCCACAAAACATGTTTGGACCATTAGATTGAATAAGACATATTTTCGATGAAGAATTATTTTTCCATTAATAACTTATATTAGCATTGTTTTTGTAAAGGAGTCATATTCACCTAATAGTAAGGTAGATTAATAAAATACCGTGTTATACAAAATCAGAAGCACTGTTTTGTTTAAATATTAAGGGATTTCAATGTAAACAGGCTTCGGTATATATTTTTTAAGTCGTTGAAGAAAAGCGTAGTTATCCATATCCATTGTTGCGGCCACTAATTTATGTGAATTCAGAGCAAACACTAGTTTTTTTAATTTAATACAAATGAAACATAAATAATATTCCGATTTTAATTCTTTGGGCAACCAATAACAATCGGTTGTCAATTGAAGAAAATTCCCATAGATCAATACAAACTGAATTCGATTAAATTTAGGCAAACAGAGAAAATGAAATTTTAACTCTAACTAACTAAGCCGTAACTAAAGGGCCTTATAAGAGGATTGTTGGAACAAAAGCTTTTATTTTTAACAACACCTTTTTTGGCTGGGACTATTGGATAATTTTTTTAAATTTAGTTATACACTGAGCCGCAAATTTAACGCTTGGGGCTTAAATATCCCCAACTTGAATAGAAAAATATCAGTGGGCGATACGACCTGAATAATTTTGTCGTCGAATTATAGCTTTATTGTTGAACAAAGTTAATGATGTAAGATAAGCAAAAAAATTCAATAAATGTATTGTACAGAGTGTATGTACAAATATTGGTATGTTTCTTACACAAAATTAGAAGAAATGGTTATCGTTTTTTCAATGACAAAGCTTTTACCTTCAGTCCCGTTTATTCGTTTAGCACTTAGGGCGTTGTTTTGCATCAAACTCTTTAGAAGGGCACGAACTAATCAAAAATAAATTCGGCTCGGTAGGACAACTTTGCATGATATAATGAAACAAAAAAAGCGCTTGCTTCCTACTGAGAATTTTTCAAAGATATCTGTTCTTTTCAACAAGATATCTTGAGTTTTTCCAAGACCGCAACTTTTTAATAGCAATTGGAGCCAAGGACACTACCTACAATGGAATTAGTTGAAATGAGGGCTTTTCTTGATCTGTTAATGTTAGCAAAAAAAAATAACTTATTTTAATAATATTTTCGACGAGATATTCTGTTGCCGAATATTTTACATCGTTATCTTAATTCAACTGAAAGCATGTTTCGCGCGATTTTAGAACATAAAATATATTTTCTATACTAAATGAAGATAATCCCAAATAATGACCATAACATAAAGGAAGAATAATTACCCAAGAAAACCATGAATAAATTCAATTGAATTAACTCCACCTGTAAAAAATGAAGTAGTTTCAGGAGAACTAAATATAATAAAACTATGAAAAGACACTCTTGAAAGCAACCAAAAGCCGCTCCGATACAAAATAATTACATTATAAATTTAGCCGAATAGATGCCATCCCAATAAAATGAATGGAATAAATAAGCTGCTCTCGATCTTTTGCACCCACACTTTAGTGTAATTAATCAAACCTGTCGGAAAGTTATCAACATCCGGGAATATTTCCTGCAAATAGAATTGCGAGTCTGGCGATGATGGCATTTTCGATTTCGGCTATGATATTCATCAAACAATTACTTTTTTGCATTTATCTTTCCGCAGAAACAAATTCCAAATTATGAGTTTTAGAGTTACCGTTAGGATTGGTTGTGGAAAAATTAACACCCTGATTTTATCAGATTGTACTGTTATAAATACGTTTTAACATCGAAAAGGGCAGGACATTCCAGAAATTTGAACGTCACGTTTTTCGATATTCTGCACAATACCTGGTACAAAAAATGGTAAGAATCTGTGATCTGTTATCTACTTACCATTCAAAACATGGACTGTTACATTTGCATGTCTAGAATTTGAAGGATTGCACTGGTAGTTTCCAGAATCGGATGGTCTGGCCCTTTGAATGAGTAGAACGCTTCGACTGGTTTCGCCTCTTTCTGTTGCTACACTTATGCCTCCTCTTATACTTGAGTAACTTATGATCTAAACAAGAAAAATTCCATTTACCTTAAAGCGATAAAAATTCTAATAAGAAAGTGAGAATATAAATTGCAGGTTTAGAAACGCTTGATAGTTTACAAATTGTAACTTTCTGCCACAACTAAGACACTGTGGAAGTTAGCAATAGTTTCCCGTAAGGCGGTCGATTTCACCTCGAGCTTACGATTATCGCTGGTCTGCGACATACCAATACTTATAGGGATCGTCTCTTAAGTCCGAAAAGTTTCTTAGTTTCATTGAGTTCTTATCGTTTGAAAGTGACTTAGATGTTTTACGTGCTTTGTAGAATGGAGTTTTTTAGTTCGGGAAATTGAAGGCAATTTCCATGCGTTGGTGTATGTACCGACACAACAGTAACTAATCGTTACCTAAACAACAAAATGTATGCACAGTTCAGATTATTTTCAAATTATTTTATGTTAAAATCTGAATCACTTCAGAAAATAACTTACTTTTAACATTACGCAATTTATCGTGAAAAGTTAAGAGTTTCAAGAAAACAGCGGAAACAATATTCAATTATTTGAAAAAAGACACTTTAGTACTAACAGTTTGAAATATCATTAGAGTGAACTGAACATTAGCTGATTATTGAGACCCAAAATGATTAGAGCAACCACAACCCTCAAGGGAGTCTGGCTAAGTAAAGCCAAGATTATTAATTATTCACAGGAATCGATCCAAACATCACGTCCATTCTTCGATGAATATTTTATACCTTGCGTTTTTTCAAGGAGATTAAAGAAGTTTCAGGAATATCTAAATAAAAAAGGCAGGATACGACTTATTGATATTCCGTCCTATAATTGAAATGTGCCATTCGTTTCCAGCAGAATACGTTTATTTATTGAGATTTTTTGAGGCAGAGAAACAAGAAATTTTTAATTTATAATTTTTTATTCGGGTATTATTGAACAATCAATGATAAATGCATTAAAATACCTTATAAGTTGCAATACGATGCTCCTAATTTCATTCGATCTCAACTATAAAAAGACTTTCACTAGTATTAACTATTAACACTTAAGTCTTAGGCAAATACTAAATTTGAATTTCGATCTGGTCCAAAGATGCTGATTTTATACGGTTCTAATATATGTTTTAATATATAACCTTAGATAAAACTGTAAAGGCAATTGATTAAATTCTATTAGTTCTTGCCCTCTTTCTCTGTTACTTTATGAAACTTCTTCTCAAGTCATTCTTTGAATATGATTTAACATTAATTTTCTTCTACCTCGTCTGTAGCTTCAAGAATACGTCCAAATGTAGCTTTGAAGAAAAAGTCGAAGAGCGCAATATCTGACAAACAAGGTGGCCAAAAAACGATTGAATTAAGGGTTATTTGTTTATATGAAAATTGTATGTACAGAATGATTCTTATTCTGCAATAGCGAATTTATTTGTTATGCTACAATTTGAATACAATTTAACGAAATATCCTACCGTCACTATTTACTAGATCCCCATCAAAGAAGAGGATCTCTAAAAACGACTTTTGTGAGTAAATCGAAATAAATAAATAATTTAATCTGATGAACTTGGCTGGGCCTTTAAAAAAAATATTAAAAACTTCCTAATGCTTTACTGTCAAACGTACAAGGAAACCATATTTTTCAAGCAAAAAGGATCTTACATTATGTTTAATAAATTTTGACTCTATAACACAATTCCTATTATAGCAGCATTCGTCGTTCTCTATTCGTTCCATCAAAAAACTGATAAGAACAATATTATCCAGTATTGTCAACTTTCCTTCTTCATTCCTTTGAGAATGGAACTTTGCATCTTACTATTAATAACATAAATTTCAGCACTTAAGTCACCTTGAATTTAATTTTTTTATGTGTAAGACATTATAGGTTTTAGACCCTTTTTCCTATTTGAAAATATTTATTGATCAACAGGTTATGTTGTGAGCATAAACTTGAGTCGAACTTACCGCTTCGTTGTGGTTCCAAAAAATATAAGCTGGAGGTTCTGGGCTGTGTCGAACTACACACGTCAAGTTTATGGTGCTTCCCCGATCAATGAATAATTCCGGGCCGCCTACGATCTCTGTGTCGGGCTCTGAAACATAAAAAATTCACAAATGAATTGCAAATTCCAAAGCCACAAAATCCAGAATTCTCTAGAGTATATTGCAAAAGATGTACAACTTGTCTTTCTCAGGGCCATAGTTACTTTATTAGCCAATTATATTGACGTGCAAGTGCGTTTTGCTTCACGAACATGTGTTTTATGGCTGAATTAGTGACTGAAAACAGCCTTTGCGTTTCTCTTTGACTTAGAAGAATTGTGCAGTAAGTAAATTAAAAATGAATATTGCTTCCAAAGTTAGCGAACTTTGTTGAACGCACGAACGCATCCAGTTAATCTAAGAGATTTTCAATCTGTTTTATTGAAAACGCCATGATCGGGAAGCATTAAGTAAACGAATAAAATTTGTCAGTGTTTCTTTACCATTTTCTGGAACGAGTAACAGTATTAATTTTTGCATGTAAATCATTTGCAATCAAATATAATTGAATCTATAGGGTGCTTATTTTTTTTTAGTTCAGCTCAATAATAAGAATTATTAAAATTAATACAAAACATCTGCACAACCATAGTTAATTTTGAAGACACCAAGAGTGCAAATACAGTTTTAAGACCATGTTTCAAACTAGTAGCAATATAATTTGAACAAAAATATGACACACACACATCAATCAATCATTTTATCAAGTTAGTGGTTTAATATAATTAACATCTCAATGCCATTTACTATATCATATAATTTCTTTTTTCTTCTTCCCAAAATTCTTCACCAGATTATTAATGTTGCAGTTTAATTAAACATGAAATTGTATTAATAAAACCACCTAAATTTTCCATGTATACAGTTACTCGGAATTAACTCTAATATTTAATTAAGTCATGTTTTTCTATGTCTCTTCGAATAAGTACACAACGTTCGCAAAATGTTGCTCTGGCATAAAATAAAAAATACTGCTTTCGATAGGATTTTTTAGAGTGAACAAATTGAAGACATTTTAATTTGATGATAGAAAATTTTAAAGCGAAGATTGAAAATGATGAGAACAAAAGAGGGGGCATACTAATGAAATTAGGGCAAGGGAAGAACTTCGAAATAACGAATACCTTCAGTAAACGTTCAAATAAGATTATGTAAATGGAAGACTTTCCGAGATAACAACACCAATTCGACTATCGTAAGAATGAATTTTAAACGTAGACCATAAAAGTGAATAATATGCACAAGCAGAGTGATTGCAGTCTCAATTTACAGTTATTCAGTTGTATTTTAAACAAAACAATAGTTAGACAAACCAAATATAGTACATAGATGAATGAAAATGAGTGAACGATAATTTAGCAAACACCGGATGAAAAACCAAAATGACCCTGGTAAGACGAGAAATAAAAAGTGGGACGACTTGAAGCCTACTGCCATGAGCACATTGACAAAAATCCTGCAATTGAAAAAGGCAGAAAGAAATAGCAATGGATGACTAAAAAATTCGTACAAGAAATGATACGAAATTTTAGCAAAATAACAAATTATATCAATTAGAAAGACAAAAAGAAATTATATAGAATTCAGTTGGCAACGACGCAATACTTTAAAACCCAAGTAAAAGAAATCGAACATACAAAAGAGTTATTAAAACACTAATCAGGATATTACAGAGCTTAATAATTAAGAAACCGAAAATACCAAAGCACGCTTTACATCAAAAGCGGAAATTTAATAATAGTAATTGAACAACATTGAAAACTGTGAAGGCGATGAATTGAAAGGAATGAAAATTACATTGAAAACACTAAAAGAGATGAGGAACTAGAGATGAAAAATAAATACGTTGTATATGGCAGCCATCGATGTTGACATCGAAAGGTAATATCGATGTTAGGGAAACATCGAAGGCAGAACATCGATGTTTGCCGTTGCATACACGATTCAAACTGATTAACTTAAACTTAAATAATTTTATTTTACCACTACTATGACATTAAATAATCGACTAAATTTATTCAACTTATAGTTGCCACATTTTTTGGTCAGCTGACTGCAAAAAGAGGCTTTTTTTGGGTGCAGCTGGAAATGGGCAGTTATGCCGCGGTAACGTTTGAATCGGCACTATCAAAGAGTTCGCAGAAAGTGTTTCTATCTAGTATCAACATCAAATATCCGATGTTTTCATTCCAGGATTTAACATCGATGTTTTATGTCACATGCATGCCCGATGTCCCAAATTTCCAACATCGGTGGTAAAAATATCGAACATCGAACGAATTACATCGATCAGACTATGAAGGCTTTCACGGCCGGTTAAATTACATTTAAGTGAAACAGCGAATTCTTTGAGCAGACGGATGGAGTAGCAATGGGCAGCCCTCTTAGTCTAGTGATAGCCAACTATTTTATGGAAAAATTGAAAAGAACGCTGTGGACACAGCCGTGAGGAAACCTAAGTGCTGGTTCCGCTATGTTGATGACACTTTTGTTGTTTGGGGTCATGGTCTGACTGAACTGGAAGACTTCCTGAGGCACCTCAACTCAATAAACCCTAAAATTCAATTCACTATGGAAGTGGAGAAGGATGCGCGACTGCCTTTTTTGGATGTCTTGGTGATCAGAAAAGCCAACGGAAAACTGGCCCACACGGTGTACAGGAAACCGACACATACCGACCGGTACCTGCACAGTGGTTCAAACCATCACCCCAGTCAGAAGAGAGGAGTCATCAA